ATTTATTTTTATCTATTTTCTTTGTGAGTGCATGTGAAGTTTGAGACAATGTTGTTTGTTTGAAAAAATTCCTTAAAATAAAATAATAAAAAAAAGAGCTAAAGCACATTACATTTTGAGAAGATCCTGCACTTCTCTACCTACATGTAAACACAGAGATAAATATTTAGGAAAGAATATTTGTATATTTTTAAACTGCTACATTTAAATCTCATTTTAGTCTAAAATAAAGAGCTAAAGACATTTAGAAGATCACTCTCCTCACACACACTCAGATGAAGGATATTTCTTGTTGTGCGTGTCCTCTGTGAGGAGCCGTAGCTGTAAGCTGCATTTGTTAATGAGCTCGTCGAGTTTCTCCTCGGCCTCCGTCAGCTCAGAAACCTCCCTCTGCAGCGCCTGGAACCTGGCCATGGATGCCCCGTCGATACGGTTCCCCCTGAACACAAGAAACGTGACACCGCAGATAAACAACTACACACTCACAGTCATTCATGAACAAATCAGTGATGCATACGATGAACGCACAGCCACTGAATGTTGTTCTTGGACTTCTTGGAGATCAGGTGGATCCCCTCCAGGACGTTGGTGATGTCGTAGATGCGCCGTTTCTGGACGTCCAGCACCTGAGAGGCCCAGTTGAGGTCAACCACACCATCTGGAGACTGAGCCAGGAGATCCAGGAAGCGTTTGGTGGTCAGATTCAGAGACGTGTCGTAGCGGGACTTCTCCGTAGCCACTTTAGGCACTGAAACAAGAGCGGATTTCATGAGGGCTGCACGATTATGACAAAAATCATAATTGTCGATTATTCCCTTGAAATTGTAATTGCGATTATTAACTACGATTATCACAATTTACACTGAATGATGTTTATACCATTGTTTGATGCAACTGCATGCCGTATTTTTATATGAAAATAAACAAGCTGAAAACACTCTAACTGAAAAACCTTTATTGCTTTTCTGTAGTATTAAGCCTCAAATGTCAACTATACATCGGATTGGTTTCTTCTTTAAATTATAAAAAAAGTAAAAATATGAATGGTATTATGTTATACTAAAACTAAAACAATGGAAAAACCCTTAAGATAACATGTAGAAAGAAAAAAACATCTTAAGCGTGCAGAATAACATAAGTGGACTTTGAACGATTAATTGCCGCTTTGAACGATTACGTAATTGTGGCACCCATAATTGTAATCGCGATTAGAAGTTCGATTAATAGTGCAGCCCTATGGAAAATGGTTTTATACTGCAATGCAGGAGTGAAATTAATGAATACTTTAATTCAGCAAGGATGCATTAAAGGGTTAGTTCACCCAAAAATGACAATTGGCTTGTGTTTTACTCACCCTCAAAGCATCCTAGGTGTATATGACTTTCTTCTTTCAGACGAATCCAATCTAACGGTTGGAAGAGCAAGGACATTTTTAATATAACTCCGATTGGATTCGTCTGAAAGAAGAAAGTCATATACACCTAGGATGCTTTGAGAGTGAGTAAAACACAGGCTAATTTTCATTTTTGGGTGAACTAACCCTTTAAATTGATCAAAGCGACACTAAAGGCATTTATGTTACAGAAGCTTTCTATTTCAAATAAATGCTGTTCTTTTGAACTTTCTATTTATCAAAGAATCATGAAAATACTGATATCCAACATTGATGATAATGTTTCTTGATCAGCAAATCAGCATATTAGAATGATTTCTGAAGATCATGTGACACTGAAGACTGGAGTAATGATGCTGAAAATACAGCTGCGCATCACGGAAATAAATTACATTTTACAATATATTCACACAGAAAACAGTTATTTTAAATTCCAAAAATATTTCACAATTTTACAGTATTTTTGATTTAAAAAAAAAGCAACCTAGGTGAGCATTAGAGGCTTCTTTAAAAAAAAAAAAAAATCTTACCAACACCTAACTTTTGAACACTATTATTATTCACCATTGATTGATATTTCCAGTTTTTCTTGACTATTTTAAGACACATTCATACCTCTGGGAGGCGCGGGTGTGGCTGGAGGTGCTGGTCCATGTGAAGCAGGTCGGGACGTGCAGATGTACTGATGATCACTGTCCAAATCCAACTTTCTCTTCACCTGAAATCAAACAGCAGAAGGAAACCAGATGTTATGACCTTTTAGAGCTATTAACATCCGGCCTGATTTATACACCAATGTATGCATCATAAAACAATAACATTAAACCTTAATTGCATCGTAATTAAAAGAATGCATGCGTCATAAAACAGTAATGCTGCTTTAACAAACCTAATTGCATGCTGATAATCTAGCGGTAATTGAGGAAACTGAGTTGTGGCCTTCAGCATAAGTTACTCAAGTACAATGGTGATCACAAACCACTCCTTATGGATTTTGAACCTACAGGATGTGGGTTACAAGCCCAGATCCAATAAGAACCATTAAGCTACATTGTGGAATGGTATTTCAAATAGTGAAAATTCCAAAAAGGAAGACTAAAAATTGGAATCCCAAGGGTTAAAGGTCACATGCATGGAATTAAACGCATGCATATGTGTCCGGACAGGCTGAAGGCGTACCGGCGGGCGTCCCAAAGTGGGTCTCCGGTGGTCCGGCAGGGTTGTGGTGGCAGTGGTGGTGTGATGAGGGGTGGCAAACAGCAAGATGTCGCCGGCCGCAGTGCTGGCCGAGGCCGTGCCAGGAGTGGAGATGATGACAATTTGATGATCTTCACTGAGATCAATGCTGCCATTGTTCAAGAGAGACTCAAAATCCGCCAGCAGGTCCTCCGAGGTCTGACCCGATATAAAACTCTCAGACATATCGGGCTAAAACAGCAGGGGTCACTTAGTCTCTGGGTTCACTTGCAATCCTTATGGCTTTCAATGCATGGAAACAGGTTGTTTTTCAAAATGCATGCATGAGAGAGAGTATAGTTGGATAAGCCATGTTAAAAACAGGCCTTGACTGAACATATGGGTGAGACTCCCAAACCACAAGGGCAGGATGTAGGTCAACTTCAGTTTGCAGAACAAAAATCAACTTTAGATCAATAGAAGTTATTTAAAAGACCATGCATGCTATTTAGAAGCATGTTTAAGACATATTTCACATGCATTATGAGTTTAGAGTTGTGGTTGCTTTAAGGAAGTGCTTTTGCAAATGGCTGAAAAGCATAACACATACAGTTCATCATAAATAAACATCATCATATACAAATAGCAATGCAATCTCAACCTTTAAAGTGCATAAAACATGAAATTATACCATACAATCCTCAAATTATTGACGACGTTGCGATATTTTGATATTTATTTTTACTTGAGCACTGGTAAACGTGTTTGAAGCGTGTTATTATATCGGTAAACAGGCTGTAGAGAAAGTAAATATAACTATATAAACCGATCCGGATGCGGAACAAAGCCCAAGTCCGGTTTCTGTTCTCATCTGACACTTTAATCCAAAATATCCCCCGCTTTTGTCCTTTTTAATGACTCCATCCAGGAAGTATTGTCATTAACTCCAAATAACATCCAAATTCTGGCTCATTTAACGCTTAAATCCATTGAAACCGACGAAAGGTGCGGCCCGACTGTCCCCACGCGCGACGCGGCCGGAATCGCTTCTGTTATTGTTGTGTTTTTTTGTTCCAGCTGATCGGAACCTGCTCAAAGGTTTACGCGCCAAATCTTTTTTGCCGCGAAACTGGCACGTGCCAGCGTGCCGCGCGCTGATTGGCTGATAAGTTGCGCCCGAGTTCCCAGGCCGCTGGTTGGCTGTCGCGGCTGTCACTCAAAGATGTCCCGTATTCTTTCTTTTTGCGTTTTTTAAATAAAGATAAGAGTTGTTTGAATGGAAAACTACATTTCATTCAATCATTATTATACTCTTATACCTTTTGTTCTTTAATATTTTGAATTGTTTTTATCTTTATCTTTTGTTTTTCATTTAAATGTTACGTTTTTAAATTTTGTTGTATGCATTTGTCATTTTTATTTAATTTATTTATTTTTAAAATGTGTATAAGTCGTATTTATAAAGTTTTAGCTTTTAGTTTTGGATCTGTTTTTAGTTGTTTTAATACTACAATTGATTGCTTCTGTTGTCCTCATTTGTAAGTCGCTTTGGATAAAAGCGTCTGCTAAATGACTAAATAAATAAATAAATACTTTCATATAAAATACAAAAAAAAAATCATCGCTATCATGACATTATGCACAAATTACTGAATTTCTCTAAGATAGATTTAACACAAATATTAAATCCTCTTGTTATGACGCAACTTAGAAAGTTGCTGTAGACTAATTAAGTTAATATTAATCTATTATGTATTTTATTTCATTTAATTAAACGTTTATTAAAGCTTTAATTTTACAGCAAATGCAAAATTGCTTCATGTATTAAAAAAAGTGACAGTCACAGGGTAAGCTTTGTTTCAAAACAATGCAAAATATAAAATAGTACTATATTAAAAAAAAATACAAATTAGCACACGGATTTGAATACATATCTAAAACCATATATGAGATGCCCGATGTCATAAACAATAACATGCAAACTTTCTGTTCATTGTAAATGATTGCATTAAACTCCGCCCACCGCTGGCGTTATGCACAGAGGAGCTACAAGATGGCGCAGGCAATATTTGAGGTTCTGGAAGGTATTAATGCACTTTATTCAAAATCCTCCAGCATATGTACAAGCTGTAATATATTATTTTATGTTTACAGTGAGAATGCATGCGCGCTCGAGACGAAAAGGCCAAAGAAACACATTTTACACAATGGTTTCGGTTCGTGTAAATGTCAGTGTGTCAGAATAGTAAAATAATATTTAAAAAATATATATATATATTAGCGCAGGATTGCAGGCAATTTGATTCATTCGCTTGAATGTACCTGAGAAGAGATTGATGTAGAGGAGGGAGGAAGAGCGATTGGAATAACAGCCTCGTGCTGCGGATCATGGCGGAGGGAGAGAGACACATCACTGGAAAAGCCACAAAACAGCATTACATCTAATAAATGTTTTTATTGTGATATAATACACTAATAAGCTAATGTTCAGTGCAAATAAAATAGTGGTTATTTGGTATAAGTTGCTATATTTGTGTCCAGATTTGACTGTTTTTGTGTTACAGATGTTCTCCTTCCCCAAAGTAACAGCGCTTGGTAGTATGATCGAAAGAAATATAAACATATATAAACATTAATATCATGGTGCATGAATATGGAAATCGTGTTCATTAGACAGTCGTACATATGTTCTTAAATACATACTTATATGGGTTTGGAACATTGTTTTGAGTTTAAATAATTATAATTCAATAATAATTTTAATAATTATATATAATATGTGCAAAGAAAGGACTAGAGACAACTAACTAGTAGGTAAGCAGTGCTTGATAAACAGTTTAGTGTTATACAAAAAAAAATGAATGTATATAGGCATATATATTAGTGCTGTCAAACGATTAATCGCGATTAATCGCAT